TCTCTCCCCTCACCTCCCCTCTCTCTCTGTAGATGACAGAAATGTTGGTGGTATAGTGGCTGGTGTTATCATTGCGCTGCTCATCGTGGCTTTCATTGGGATCGGCCTGTGGTTTGCGTACCGTAAGGGATACATCGGACGTGAGTGTGACCTTAAGCCCTTCTGTCGTCCCGAGTAGCCCATGCCTGATGGGTGGCATGTTGGAAACGTTGGCAAGACTTTGCAATGGTCACCCATGACACAGCCCTTCAAAGATTGGTGTGGTGCCAATTGAGGGGGGGCTGCTTTGTCCTGGATGGTGTCAAGCTTCTTGAGTGTTGTTGGGGCTGCCCCCATCCAGGGGCAAGTGGGGAGTATCCCATCACACTCCTGACTTGTGCCTTGTAGATGGTGGGACAGGCTTTGGGGAGTCAGGAGGGGAGTTACTCGCTGCAGGATTCCCAGCCTCTGACCTGCTCTTGTAGCCGCTGTGTTGATGTGGTGGGTCCAGTTGAGTTTCTGGTCAATGGTAACCCCCAGGATATTGATAGTGGGGGGATTCAGTGATGGTAACACCATTGAATGTCAAGGGGCGGTGGTTAGATTGTCTCTTATTGGAGATGGGCATAGCCTGGCATTTGAGTGAAGGGAATGCTAGCTGGGATCTTCCTGTGTAAATGGGACAAGGTATAACGCAATGGGTGATAAATATTGAAATTACTTTGGTAACAATGTCTAATCAGATGCTCTCTCTCTCTCTCTCTCTTCCGTTCTCACAGAAAAACGGCCAACGTAAGTCTGATATTCATCGTCGTGTTGATGGTTAATACTAAGGGCAGGACTGTATCAAAGGATCTCAAGTATCCTGTTCAAATATAGTGCAAACATTTCTCTCCTCCCCTCCCTATCTATGTAACCCCCTCCTGCCCCTACACCCCTCCCTATCTCTGTAACCCCCTCCAGCCCCTACACCCCTCCCTATCTCTGTCACCTCCTCCAGCCCCTACACCCCTCCCTATCTCTGTAACCTCCTCCAGCCCCTACACCCCCTCCCTATCTCTGTAACCTCTCTCCCAGTGATAGTCAGTCTCTCTCTCCGATGTTAGTAACACACTCCCTTTCTCTCTCTCTCTCTCCACACAGGAAACAAAAGGTGATCTACAGTCAGCCACCAGCTGATGAAGTGGATGATGTGAGTTGGCCTGTAATGTGGTGGGAGTCGCGAAGTTAGAGGGGGATAGAGGGTCACAGAGATTGGTGACTGGAACAGTTTTACCCTGGGGAGGAGGGGTGGGGGGTGCGGTTGGGGGTAGGTTTTGACGAGGTAGCGTCATGTCTGAGGGAGTAAATTTTGAGGTGGAGTTATCAGGGCTAAGGGGAGTAGGTTTTGAGGTGAGGGCATCGGGGCTGAGGGGAGGTAGGTTTTGAGGAGGAGGGTGTTGGGGCTGAGGGAGGGGTGTAGGTTTTGAGGAGGAGGGTGTGAGGAATCCGGTTGAGTGCGTGTAGGGACGTGACAAACAACATTCAGTTTAATTTCTTTAACCTTCCTCTCGGTCTCTCTCTCCCTCCCTCCCTCTCCCTCAGAATGACTTCAAACAGAAATCTTCATTTGTCGTCTAACCCACTCCATCAAAGCAAGACCCACGCTGGGACACATAACCAGCCCCCTTCCCCCCCCACCCTCACCCTCCCTCCCCCACTCCCTCATTCCCTCCGGCCCCGTGGAGGAGGGGTCCCTCGTTAACCCAGCATTTCCCTGAGAATCCGAACTCGACGGGAAACTGGTGGGATTGAGGTCTTATCGTGGAAAAACAAAATCATCTTTCTTCTCACGCACAGTCTTTTCAGACTTGATGATTTTTTAATTAACTGTACAAAATGTGGCTTTGTGAATATTAACCATCAGTTTGGATACAGCTTGTCCCTGTTTTGTAACTCCATTCCGCACCTGCCCAGATAACTGTGTAGAGGGAGCTTTCCTGGCATTTTAAAAGAGTAAGAGGTAGCTTTTCCTCCCTATCTAACCCCGTGCTGTCCCTGTCCTGGGAGTGTTTGATGGGGGACAGTGTAGAGGGAGCTTTACTCTGTATCTAACCCCGTGCTGTCCCTGCCCTGGGAGTGTTTGATGGGGGGACGGTGTATAATATTTGATTCTGGTGTGTAGCTCTGACCCCTTTGCTGTTTTAAATATTTATTGTAACGGTGATTTGAAGCTGTGCAGCTGCACCTTTCCACATGCTTTTTGTTTTTCAGTTTTGTAATGTATTTTTTTAAAACCTGTCCTTCAGCACCGTGAATAAAAATAATTTGTGCTCCACACTGCTGTGGTCTGCATCATTGGGATGGTCTGAAAGTATAGCAGCATCTGTCAGTTCCCTATCTCTCTCTTTGTGCGTACAGTACGCACATTTTACCTGCTTTTCCGAGCCAGAACGATGGCCCCTGGTACTGGTCACGAATCACAATTCTGTTCCAAGCTAATCGATTCGAACTGCGGATAAATTATAGACTGTCGACCCGCTCTCCAGCCCGTACAGGCCCACACCCTCTTTTTGGGTGTGATGGGCTGAGGGAAAACCTCAGGAAGGGCAGTTCTGTTCGCAGGGTTCACCTGTACAGACTTGCTGCAACACGCTTCTAAATTCTCCGTCTTCCTGCTTACGTGTCGCTGTAACCGCTGAGGGGAATAAACTGGCTTCTTTCTTTCAGCATTCAGGATGTCTTTTTATAGACTGCAAAGCCAAAAAACAAATAGCGTGCTCTCCTGCAGAGGTCTGATAGTTTCTGTGATAAGCGTTAATGCTGTGGCTGGTTCACAGACGTTTCATTACCCTGATAGTAGGAACTGCTGATGTTGGAGAATCTGAGATAACAAGGTGTAGAGCTGGATGAACACAGCAGGCCAAGCAGCATCAGAGGAGCAGGAAGGCTGACGTTTCAGGCCTGGACCCTTCTTC